GTCTGCTAAATATGAAAAATAAAATGAGGAAGGAGGAAAACACTGTCTCACAGGTTTACTGCACAGAGTGTGTTTATGAAGTAATCACAGTAATACAGATGATAACAATATTTATAAACACCTGAACACATTATATACCAACATTTATTGATATTTGCATCATTTGAGTGTAAGTATTTATTATACTTTAAAGTTAAAGAAAATATTGTTTTCAAACTTTGCATTTGTGAACAGTATTTTATTTTTAATCAGTTTGTGACTGGAGACCATGTCAGAACCTCCGAGCTCGTCCTGAGCAAAGCTGCTGCTAATCCAGCCTGCTCTCTAAGGTCTGGGCATGTCCGACTGGGAGGAGGTCATGGAAGTCCATCTCAGCTAGCTTGGGGATGCTGCAGCTTTTCCTCCAGACCATCAGGAGGATGTAGCTGGGATAGAGAGGTGTGGCAGTCTCTGTACAGACCAGACTCTGTCCCTGAGACCTGGACCAGCATGAGTCAGATGGATCAAAGGTTTGTGTTAAATATAGAAAATTCAGGAAAATGTTTTATTTAAGCAATGGAGGAAAAAGCTCGTCACCCAGGAACCAAAGATGTTCAGGAGATCGTGTGTATACAGGCTCATGTTATACAGCTCTTAGATGACGCATTACACAATATGATAAACTACCGTGGACTAACAGGTCTTGTGTGTGCCATTAATGACCAATAATTATCAAAATGTGATCAAACGTTCTTTATTTTATTGTGTGACACATTTTTTCTCCTTTGCTGCTACGACTGCTGCTCCCAGTGCTGCTCCCAGTGCTGCTCCCACTGGACCTAAAATGCTCCCGAGGCCCGCTCCTATCCCAGCAGCCCTCAGGATCTTGTTCTTCGTCTGTGCCCGACTTCTCGCTTCTTCTTCTCCCATGTCTGGATTTTCTCTCTGAAGTCGTTCCATCTCTTCTCTGATGGCTCTCTCAGCTTCCTGCAGCATGTCATTGGTGTAGTATGTTGCTCCATTTGTCTGAACCATGGTGTTGATCTTCTTCAGCAGCTCTTTGACCTGAGAGCGATCCTCACTCTTGTTGTTAAAAACATGATATCTTCCTCCGCACTGATTGATGAAGCGATGCAGAGGCCGATTTCCACTGATTGATTTGTCGATGTCGACTCCGTTTGGCAGATTGTCTCCATACGTGAACAAGACTATGGTGTAACAGCCTGCATCCACTCCAAATATCTTCTGAAGGATTTTCATCGTTTCTTCTTCTGCTTTTGTAAACCTGCCGATCTGGATCACAACCAGGAACACGTGAGGACCGGGAGCAATAAAGGAGACGCATTTAACGATCTCCGTCTTCACCTGCTCCTGAGTCAGTAGGGTGTCAAACAGACCCGGAGTGTCAACTACATCCACGATGTGACCATCCACCTGCCCTGTTACTTTGCGACACCCAACTACTGATGAAGAAAAAGAAGTTACAGACTCAAAGGCTGTTTTTCCTAAGATGGTGTTTCCTGATGCACTCTTCCCAACTCCAGTTTTCCCAACAAGCACAATCCTCAGGTGTGGGAACTCATCTCTCAATGCATCTCCTGGAGAACATAAACAGACAGCGTTAGTGGGACTCCCAGGTCATCACACAGGTCATCACACGGGTCATCACACAGATCACACAGGTCATCACACAGGTCATCACACAGGTCATCACACAGGTCATCA